ATTTCCCTTTATTGTTGTTAATTTTATGATGAAGGTAAATTAATTCTTAATATCAATGTCATGTCAAAATAAGAAAATTAGAAAGCTATGATTTGGCTTTATAAAGAGGGTCTATTGTTTGTAGTTATAATCTTTTCTCCTTTATTCCTTTAATGTTCTTTGGTGATTTGAATTGGGTTATCACATACTATTTTTTCTTTTACTTAATCTTGAATCAGCCTGGTAATAAAGTCAATGATGATTATATGTACTTCTTCTTTATTTCTAAATAATTGAATCTTGGTAAGAAAATTCATATAGGAAATGTTTGGTTTCATTTAGGAATTATATAGATTAAAACTTACCCACCTTTTACTTATATTTTAGTTCGTAAATTTGTTAGTAGCAAAGAGTGATTTGAATAGGATTTATCTTTGATGCATGAAGTTAATGAAATTTATTGATCTTACTTAGACTTTAAAAATGATGTTTGTTGTTTATAATGTTATTTATGTATAACACACTACTTTTCTATTAAAATTATTTGAGTTAGTGAAATTCCTTGGAATGGAATATTGGAAGTAAATGAAAGAGCAGAAATAATGGAAATACAAAGTAAGAGTTGATCCATATATTAAATACCATAAATATAGTGGTGAAACATCTTTCTGCTCATTGGGAAATGGAGGCTTGGAAGGAAGGATTATGTGGAAAGCTTGAGGAAAGGTCTTTGTAATTTTTTTTTCTTTATTTTTTTTGTTTTCGCCATTTGATGTGGTTTAGTTTCACCCGATGATAATTACTTTAACTAATGGATTATGTCGTAAATGATGTCACTAGCACATACACAACGTATATAGGATTTAAAATTCATTTTTGCATACAAATTACACTATTAATTAGTTTATATCACAAAATAGGTGCATCACACATTTTCACCTTATATTGTCCTTGAACCAAAAACTTCCGATATTAAAAAAATGAATTTTCTAAAGTTAGATCCTGGTTATAAAAAGATTGGTGGCATATGTCACTTATTTTGTGACAATGTTGACAACTCTATTCAGTGATGATACACGGTGATGCTCTAACAAGTATTTTAGTTATAAATTTACTAACAACTTTACTAATAGTGATAACTTTATTATTTGATTTATTGATTATTCTTATAGATTCTTTAATAGCTCATGTGAGTTGGTGAAATTTATCTTACATAATTTATTAATTAGTAAGTTTATTCACTGATGGATCCACTTTTATTGAAAAATTAGTTGGTGAATATAATAAAAAATAATTTATTAATTTTAATAAATATAAATATATTTAACAATAACTTTAAATAATGATATATTGAGATTAAAGGTTAATATAATAATTATAAATAATATTCAATACTTCAATATTTTATCAAATAAAAATCAAATGTATTTAACATGCATTTTCATCCATTGTATTATCATAAAAATATCATCCATTATATCATCAACTAGTTAGATTGACACCAGTGCTAAACATGGAAGCATTGAGTGGACTGTTACTAGAAATAGAGAGAGAACATCAAGGCTCTGGATGAGAGGCTTACCATGGTAAAAGATTTGAGAAGAATGTAGGTAAAGTTAAGGCAAATAAAGAGGTCTAAATTAAATAATGGAGAGGACACTACATTCGACCTTTATGGATAATGTCAGCTCAAAAATGAATCCATGATATCT